GGAAGCCTGCAGCATGAGTCAAAGGGATCAGGTGACCCACCCGGAAATCATACTGACAAGTTTAATCATGCAAATAAAGCTGAAAATATGTCACAAAATTCAGTTCAAAACTATTTGTAAATATTTGCTTTATTTTCAGACCGATTACTTTACTCCCCAGGTCATGACTGACTGAACCCACTCCCCCACAATAAATGCTGCTGGCGCCCATGTGCATAAGCTCTCTTACTGTCATTAAAATATCTACTGGTGTTTATCAACAAATGGATAAAGGATTTCACAGACCATACCTTTAAATATTATCGTTAATTAGTTCTCCTTATTAAGTCCGTCACCATAACGAAACACCATATGCATTTTAAAATGAGTTCCGAAGCCCACTGATATTTTCTTATCCAACAAAAATGACATCTCAGTATATACTAAAGTGAAGACAACATACTGTTAGTCAACTAGTCTTATTGTTTCATTACAGTCATACAAACATAAAATAAAACCTTGTCATTTTCTATCATCAATATAAAAGTTATGGGCTCTGTTAAATTGATTTGTTTGTATATCTATATATATATATATATATATATATATATATATATATATATATATATATATATATATATATATATATATATATTATCTTTGAAGTGCTTGTTCTGGTTTGACTTGGATATAATTAACCTTTTATTGCAAATCTATTCTATGATATACCCCACTATTATCTTTATTTGTGCATTTGAACAACAAGTAATGCATATGATCACTTGTCCTTATATGCTGTATGAGACAATGGCTTCAAGAGCACATTGACAGTTTTTAATTTCCCTAAAGAGAGCTTCATTTCCCTACTGGCAGCCTCCCTGCTTTGACCTCTTTGGTGGATTCTTGCCCTCAATCTAGTTTCAACTAGAATAGCCAAAGCCCTAAGCAGGTTTAATTACCATGTAAATATCACTGCATAGCCACATGGTTGTTGACACAATGTACATTGCAATTAAAACAACAAGAATGAATTGTTGAGTTAGCAGTGGTTATTGATAATGGAATATAGTAGGGTCATAATACACCACTCCCTGGATAACTCGCGCCTGGATAACTTATAACGCAGTGTCGCAGTGTCGTGTCCGCCATGGCTCTCAATTTTTTTCAAAGAAAATATATTTTAAAATGTGTTGAACGTAAAAAAAGTCGTGATAAGAAATGGTAAATTAAACCTTGGTATATAGGTCGTTTTTATCATCTAAAACGGTGATTATTGCCCATAAAGATAGATTCCATATTGTGAAATTTGCAATTTCTAATAAGATATCACATATTATGTTAGGCTTTTTTTAAATAGAGAAATAGTTGTCAATACACTGTAAATAAACAGCACTCAATGTAAATGCTAACATGCAGCAACAGAGAAGGAAATAAATACCAATTAAATGTCCTTTAATTTCCTCTTAACACTATAATGGCAACATATTCTCTTCTAGGAAAACATGAAAAGAATCAGTCGACCATCACACTGAAACCCAAACCCATTTGAGTACTTCTGTGAGAACATAATTGAATGCCAGCTTTGTTTTGATCAACAGCTTGGGGAATTGTTTGTTGCAATAAAAGAATCAATTAAAAAAAAAACTGTGTTGTTTTATCACTTTGAATATGTCTTTTGTATCAAATCAAACAAGGTAAGTACAATAAAATAAAGTTCAAAGGCATGCCAATATGAGCAAATGTTCTGGTATTCATTATTGTTATCAAATTTCATTTTACTTGAATAATCGAAAATATTTTCACATTTTATGTATTAACATCATTAAAGTATATAATATCAGTAATGTATCCTAATCATTTGTAAATGTGATCATGGAGAGCAAAGGAATTACTTAGTGACTGAAAAGCTGTTCATCATAAATGGTGTTCATAATGACTAAGCAAGATCAAAAATTTGCAATGAACTAAAAATTGCTGAGATAACATTTAGAGGTTGGCTTAAGGATGAGCCAAAACTTCGAAATTACTCACATGATGTTGATTCAGATGAAGGGATGAAACGAAAATGAACACAGACTGCAAGCAATAACGAAGTAGATGATGCTGTGTACGCATGGTTCACACAACAACGTGTCACAAACTGCAAGTGTTATCGTGTTCTAATTTAGGCCATTTTAAATTTTTAGACCCATTAATTTCATGTTGGTAATGGTTAACCCTTGTGAATTTATTTTTTTTCTTCCATTTTACATCTACCGTAATAAATATCTACACATCGTTCAATCGACAGTTTTTTCGAAATGTGTCGATCTTTCGTATTTAAAAAAAAAGAAGTCTACTTTGGATCAAACAATAAAACTAGAATGTATACCATTCACAGCAAAATTTAGTGACGTAGTACATAAAGTGAAGTCGTACATGTGCTAAGTGAATGGAAACCACGTGGAATAATGTTTTGATGATCAATATACTGCAAGTTATCCTGAAATTAATGTTACTCTGTGATGAAAAAATTAAACAAAGTACACCGATATGAAGAGATATTTATTCACTGTTAATCTTAGCATGATTATTAATTGAGTATTCAACACTGTAACATGACAAGCCACCCCCACCCCCCTTTTGCCTATACGTCAAATTCTTTGTTAGTTTTGTTGTTTGTTATAGGTCCCTCGATAACTCGTGCCCTCGCTTATATTGTGGTCGATGTTTCTGGACCCCGATGTCCGCGAGTTATTGAGGGAGTGGTGTACTTGGATTATCACAATTGCCAGGTATTAGTCTTTTTTTTTTTTGCAAAAGCTACAAATAAAAACTGCCCTGAATGAATAGAGTCTTGTATACTGACAAAATTTTGGTTCAGTTCTCTCTTTCTCTCATGCTCACCCACCCGCACCCTTGCATTAAATAAAACATAATTTCAAGTTCTTTATTTTTTTTATTGCAATTTGATAATGAGATTATTGTTGCTGTAAAAATACAAGTTGCACTTAATTTCTTTACAATGTGGATTCTTGTTGTCTACAATTTACCAATAATTAATACATGTTCAAACCATCTTAATCATTTTGCCAACATTACACAACATAAGAGCTACATATGTTCTAAAGACAGATGAGCTTGTACACTGAGACATAATCCTCTCTCTCTCTCTCACTAATAACAACACAAATCTTTTAGTAGTTTTATTTTTATTGTAATTAGATTCTTAATTTGATAGCATAATGAGACAGAAAATATATGTATACTTTGTACGTTTGTACCACTAGGTTGTAGAGTAGCGTGTGTTCTGTAAAACTTGTTCAAGTATGATCCCTTTATTTTTCGTACACAGTCAGTACCACCATATGATAATTATTTATTTTACATATAATTTTTCATGCACTGAAATTAATAATTATTTTTTTGTGTACAAAAAATAACATTGAATATGGGAGCCTGTCATTATTTTATTTTATACTGTTATATGTCAGGGTTGTACAGATAATTATTTACAAATGTCTAAATGGTTACTATGTTCTATTAGTTCTTAATTTGCTTTTGGTGATATTTGTAAAAACAGTTTTGTTTTTACATAAAGACAAACAGCACACTGCAGCATCTTTTTTTTTCAAACTTTGTCATTGTGTTTATTCCATACATTTTGCTCAGTAGCTATTAGTCTTTCATTTAATACCAGGACAAAATTTTAAATAAAAGACATCTATCAATTCTTTTCCTCTCTGATCCAAAACAAAAGCAGGACCAATGCTTTCAGTGAACTCAGTGTCCTGCAAGGCACATGGCTCTCTTGCACACACTGCACTGTCTTCATAGTCAATTTCTGACAGACTAGATAAAGATGATAATTCACCGACACTTCTAATACATCATAAACATCACTAACTTCATCCTCTGAAAAACCTAAAATTACAATTCCTAATCAGAGGTAAAATCCATTGGTTCCAATGTTAACAACAGCATGTATTAACTATCATGTGTTACAATAATTCCAGAAAATTCTTGTATTTAGTAGTTATATTTAGTATTTTGACTGGATGAATGTTCTTTTGATTCCTACTGTTGACAAATCATATCATTTGTAACATGAACATACACAGTGGATCTATCCATCGCTGAGGTCTAAAGCACATAACAAGTAAGCATATATAATTCACTATGCTTGATAGCAGTGTTTGGTTACAAACAGATGTATCAGTCACTGTGGAGGCAAGGCACATGTATGCAGCAGATAGACACATCAGTGGTAGGGAAAGAGTTAATGTGCATGTAGAAAAAGAATTGGAGGGAGTAGGTTTTGAGGAGACTGAAACATTATGTCACATAGTTCATCTCATATTAATTTTTTTTTATATTTTGTCACGAAAGTAGGAGCAATGCAAATTAAAAACATTGAATTCTATAATTAATTTGTATATGTACCAAATGTTTGCACATGTCAAATGCAAGGGTTTGTATGTTATTTTAGCTATACTTTGCATAGCAGATGATTAGTTATTACCAACTGAATTACCCTCTTTAAATAAAGAAGTATTATCATTACAACATTATTATTACTTTTAAAAAATTGAACATAATATTTAAGGATTTTTTAATTTTTTTACCTTTACATTTCTTTTTACACAAATCTGATAGAATTTTAACATCTTTACTTCTTATTATAGAAGGACTATATGTTTGTATTTATATGGAAAGGTGTTTCTTCAAAACATTTTTGTGCAATTTATCTCTAAATTATTAGAACTGTAATTTTAATTAGCAAATTAGCACATATAGCCAGTAATGTACTGTGTGCCAATAAACCCCAAGGCATGCATATATATATATATATATATATATATATATATATATATATATATATATATATATATATATATATATATATATATATATATATATATGCATGCCTTGGGGTTTATTGGCACACAGTACATTACTGTCTAAAAATGGCAGATAAAACAAAGATAAAGGCAAAAATCTTCAAAATGCAATGTGTTTTATCTGCCATTTTTAGTAGGACCGCTCCGGTGGCCTAGTGGTTAAAGCATCTGCCTCGGATGCAGAAAATCGCAGGTTCGAACCTCGGCCAAGTTATACCAAAGACTTTAAAAAATGGTACTAACAGCTACCTACCTTAGTGCTCAGCATTGAGAGGTTAGTTTTGGGCCTCATTGGCCTTGTGTCAGGATAATATGACTGGGTGGAGCATCATGCCACATACCTATGGCATAATGCCCCAGGGCTAGACATCACTATAAACTGTCAAACTGCAGATATCATAGGGATAGTACTGAATAATTGTTAAAGCTATGATACAAATCTAAAACACAAACACACACATACACAATTTTTAGTATAACTAAACATTTCCTGCACTGCATAACCAGGGTTGTGCTGATGTGTCATTAAACTCACTACATACCAATCAGCCAATCAGATTATGTTTGCACATGGGTCAAAACTTACCTTTTGTATGCTTTTCTTTCTAGCTTGACCATGTATATGATCTAGAGTTATCACTCTGTGAAGAGCTAAGCACACAAATACCTCAGTCCATCTGTCAGAGAGGGTAGATTCCTGAAAAATTATTAAAAACATTTAATAAACAATAAACTTTTTCATTTTGACCATCTGTTGTGTTTAAAAATTTAATCTGCCACAAGAAAGATAATTTGCACATGTGAAACCTGTTACCTTTCATAAATTTCTAAATGTTCTTAACAATTTATATATTTCACTTTTTCATTAGGTGCTACCAAGTTCGACTTACAAGATGCCTCAGATAAAGCTTGGGTATTGGGTAACCCAAGCTTTGTTTGCAAATGCAGAGAGAGAGAGAGAGAGAGAGAGAGAGAGAGAGAGAGAGAGAGAGAGAGAGAGAGAGAGAGAGAGAGAGAGAGAGAGAGAGAGAGAGAGAGAGAGAGAGAGAGACAGAGAGAGAGAGAGAGAGAGAGAGAGAGACAGAGAGAGAGAGAGAGAGAGAGAGAGAGAGAGACAGAGAGAGACAGAGACAGAGAGAGAGAGAGACAGAGAGAGAGAGAGAGAGAGAGAGAGAGACAGAGAGAGAGAGAGAGAGAGAGAGAGAGAGAGACAGAGAGAGACAGAGAGAGACAGAGAGAGACAGAGAGAGAGAGAGAGAGAGAGAGAGAGAGAGAGACAGAGAGAGACAGAGAGAGACAGAGAGAGAGAGAGAGAGACAGAGAGAGAGAGGGGGGGACAGAGGTTATATTCAGTTCATAATGCTTTGTTTTTCTGCAGTTTTTATGCTCTGTGATCTTGCCACAGTATGTGTATCAGAAAATGTTTTTAGCATTTATATGTACTGCATTCTTCTACTATACAAATACCTACAGTTTCATTTATCTATTGATCCTTTATTCTATCCTATGCACTGTTAGTCTGTTAATTCTATCTTGTAGTCAATGTCAAGAGATTAGACATGATAATATAAATATTTATTATTTAAAGAAAGTTTTGAAAACCTGGGAAAATATATTCATATATTTTAATTTAGCAGTTACATTTTAATTAATATATTTGTAAATAGATGAATATTGGATTTGCTGACTTTCAAATCCAAAGAGCCTAAGTATTAAGCCTTGTTGACTTTCTGGTCAAATCAACTGAGACAATAAGATTCTCAAATGTCAACTTGTCAAGGACTGGTTTGATATATGTCACTAATTTCATTGTGAATTGGTGATAGTTCTTAATGACACAACACATGCAATTTCTGTTACAAGCATTTTTTTGAAATAAAATGGTCTCATCACTAATTATTAGCCATATGGAATTCTCATTAAGTGCTAGTGATGTACCAAATGAAAATGACCTAACAGTGGCATTTATCATCAATTGTTTACATAGTAAGTACAGGTCATCAAAATATACTTGCAGTTTTTGCAAATGATTACTTGGATAAAGGTGTTCTAAAATTATTCAGGCATGTAAATAAGTAAATAATTACAAAACCACTCTCATTTCCTAGATAAGCTTTCATTATTGTTCCAAACACACACACACACACACAGGTAGATTGATAAATAAACTATTTTCATACATTTTTAACAATAAAAAAAAAGATATTAATAATTCAAACCTTTATTTTTCAAAGAAATATAACAGTTTAAAGAATACATTGCACATTTATTTTACCATATTTTAAAAACTTTTGTTATGATATTGTCAGCAAGCTTGAACCTCTTAAGGGCAGTTAAATTTTCCAGTCAGTACTGTGATACAGCTAAAAATGAACCCCTCATCCAAGCATTTGTGAAGGATGAGGGGCATTATTGGAGTAAAGCCGGAGGCTGAGCATGTATACACCCACCCGTTAGTTGTTGTAAATTGGAATTTTCCCTCCCTGTATTATATAGACAACAAAACACTTCACTTTAAACGATGAGGTTTCTCATGCAGACGGCTTGTTTATAAAGGGTACTTCAAGTGACGTATTGTATAACTGATAAAAGTTCCTTTTCTTTGAAGAGTGCCTGTTTCCGCCAACGACAGAGTAACATGCTATGTATACATGTGAGGCTGAAGGCTTTACAAAGAATAATGTAATTATTTATTTGTATATTATATCTATCCATTGAACAGTTGCATGTGCAAACTATGGTTCATAGTACTGAGTGATCTCAAGTGTCTTATGACACTCAAGTCCTCTTAGCGCAGTAAAGAAACTAGCAAAGAAACCTGAAGACCTAAGAACCTAAAGCAACTTTGGAAAAGAAACTTAAATCTTGATGATAACTTTGCCTTCATTGTACACTTTTCAGTGTTGTACTAACATGAAAAAACTTTATGCATTTTCACTTTTACTAATATTAATGTTCTGTATTTATTAATCATGATTTTGCAGTATTTTTATATGATGAAAAAATCTGATTGTCAAACAAACTTTGTTAACAATCTATATTTGAAAGCAAAAGAAATACAATCTGTGCATTACCAGTGACACAAAGGCACAAATTCTAAATCCAAATTTCATAACATCACTTGTTCTGCACTAAGCACACATCCATTTTGGTGATATGTAAATCCAGTGCAGAATGAAGAAACTAAAAATTTCAGTGGAAATGAACTTTTAATTTAAAAAATATTCAGACAAATTCACATGAAGTTCAAACAATGTATACACAAAAATAGGCTGCTAATGCAGTGCCCATCTGTGCCTGAGCAAATGTCCATGGTGTAATTGATGTTCTTAATTATGTCCCCTGTTTTTTTGCAGCCAATAGTTCAAAGCACTAATAATTATCTGGCAGACAGATGTCTACTTTTCCACTTACTAGCAAAGAATACTGGTATTTTAAGTTCCCCAAAATGCATTTAGGCAATAATAACCTCAAATAAACAATGTCCATATAAAACTGAGTACTGTGTCCTATATATTATATTATTATTAAATAGAAAACTATATACATGTATATATATATATATATATATATATATATATATATATATATATATAACTATATAGATGTATATATATATATATATATATATATATATATATATATATATATAACAAATCATGGCAAAAAACAAGTGCACTGGATCAAACAATGGATCATCTGTGTCAGGGATTGATTAAGATAAATGCAATAAAATGACAATAAACAGTGCAAAACTAGTTCTGCCTAAGCACTTTCAAATGTAAGTATCACCATCAAGCTGACATACCAAATTTGAAGCTTTTATTTATGCAGATATAGTCATGTAAAATTTGTAACCTCAAAGACTTATTTAGCGTTGAACCCACTCAGGCTAGTTAAAATATATATATATATATATATATATATATATATATATATATATATATATATATATATATATATATATATATATATATATATATATTAGAAATGAATTCACTTAAAAACCCCAAGCAGTGTTCAGCCATAAATGTAATGAAGTCTGAGAAAATAGTTGATATGTCATTCTAATAAATAAATAAACATCTAATTCCTAAAAAAATAATTGATCTTGTGTCATTCACTGTTTCAAATCACTACCATAATCAGCATTGACTAAAGATGATTGTTTCACTTTATCATAGTGTACCTTGGAAATGAATTCATCACAAACAAAATCCAGCCCCCAATGGTCAGCCATGTACAATGCAAACTAAAAGCAATACAGATAGGTGATTATAATAAATAAATAAATAAATAAATAAATAAATAAATAAATAAATAAATAAATAAATAAATAAATAAAAAAATAAATAAATAAAACAAATGAGGTAAAATTGATGGCTTTGAATGTCATAGTAGCAAATAAATAAATAAATAAGACAAATGAGGCAAAATTGATGGCTTTGAATGTCATAGTTATAGCACATCATTTTCAACTTTTTTTTCTCTCATTCTCTCTCTCTCTCTCATTTCAAATCTGCTGCATACTTATACACATTTAAAATAACATGAAGGCAAAGAAACCATTTACATATAGGGTACATTTTTTGAGCTTGTAATGCTTGATTCAAATGCAGAGTAAAATGTTAAATGTGCTGGTTCAAACTGATTGAAAAATAACCAGACAGTCTGCATTTGAGTGACTAATTATGATCGTTTAAAGTAATATGCTAGCTGAAGACATCATGGGGTGCATTTTGGCACTTGTGACTATAAATATGATTTAGTCTTTTTTTTGTGGTTCACAATGTTTTGGTGACCTAGATTCAGCACACCCATAACATAACCTCTTTCATCTCTTTTCAAGGTATTCTTCAGATATATCCACTGACTGGGTTTATGGCTGATTCACTTTCATGTTCACAAGCCATTACCGATAAAACACCTTGAAAATCAATGTCAGAATGCTAACTATTAACCTGTTCATTGCTTAAAATTCATTTGTATAATTTACAAGTCAATGAGCTGAAATGATGTGTTAAAATGCAAACTCATAATTTTGATTTGACCCAGTCAAGGTGGTCTAGTTTTCAAATTAAAATTAGATCATAATAACATGGACATGTTGGTAGTCAGAGCTGCATCATTTTCATTCAGTTGTATATTGGAAGTGGTAGTTTAATAAAATTCTATGTACGTTTATGCCATCATTCACTCAAAATATTGAATGA